TCCAACTATTTATGTTGCATTGTTTGTGTTAGTAACTGTTTAATTGACAAATGGACTTTTGATTAAGTAAGTTGACAAAGTTCAGGAGTACGTCAGTGTGTCCAGTTCTAGTAACAGAGAAATCTACAAACAACTAAATGCAAACCTTTAACATTCAAGTTATAAAAAGAATTAACTCACTTTATGCATAGCAAAGCATCCTTGTACGATTTAGACATATTTTGAAGCATGTGTGTGGAGGTCATTTCACAGAATAATAAAAAAAATTGCCATCTGAAGATAATATAAGAATAAAATCCTTCCTGAATTACATTTTTTGTCAGTACATTACAGAATGTCTGGGTTAAAATTGCTTAGAAGGACAAAAGGTTAAGATTTTTCCTAACTCAAGTACTCAAAGATGTTCAGAGTTGTCTTCCTAACAGAGTTGCATAAATAAGCTAGCTGTCCAATGCTGGACAAATTTCAACGCAGCTCTCCGTTACACGAATGCCATACCATCCTCCCCAGAACTGTGTGTCTTTGCCACCATGGGTGAAACGGACATATCTCACTCCTGGTCCGTAGTCCTTGAAGACATACTCCATCTGAAAGAAGAAATAACATCAGTAACATGAACTTATTTTCCTCTGCAGCTCCATTGATTATTGTAACATACTTGATGCCACTGCTCATCATTCCACTGTGGAATAGTAACGTCCTGAGGCCTGAAGTTCTTCAGAACATTTTTCTTGTGATCTAATAGCTGTACAGAAATAATGTAGATGCTTCCACAATCCGAACGCGCCCCATACCTGACAACGGACAAATATAAGTTAAAGTTTTCTCTTTATTTGAGAAAAAAAAAATCCTAGATAATTCATGTTAATTTTTCTCACCAGTCAGATATCCGGATAGGCGGCTGGAACTCATCCATAAATGATGGGCTGTAACCTTCTTTCATCAGATCAATCACCTGCACCTTTGTGCACCAACTGCAGACAAAAAGTTGTATTCACTTACCGGTAATTAGTAATTACAACTTCAGTTGAATCAACACATGAAACATTTCTAGCGCTGGTGATTTCTTACTCAAACGAGGTCACATAGTTTTTCTGGACTGCTGGATTTGAATGTTGCACCTTAGATCCCTCTATGGTCCACTTATCTCCACCGTTCTTCAGTATTCTCCAACCTTGAAATTCATCTAAGAAAACAAAAGATGAGTATCTGTGGCTTTTCTAAGATGTAGCAGAAAAGTAATGCTACTGCATAACATTAAATACTTTCTTAATTTTCACCTTCTGCTCTTGGATTCTTTATGAGATTTCTCCTCTTCTTGCACAAGAAGTAAAACAACCTCCAGTTGTTGCTGGGTACTCTGGAAGGATCACGGAGGTGATATCCCTCTCTCCTACATCTTTCTCTCCAGAAAGACTCGCTGTCGGCCACATCTTTCCACTGGCGGCACACTAATCGACACACACACACCACGTGTTGGGGGGGCAAATTTAAGAAGATTTCCTCCAATATTTCCAACGGAAGAGGGATGACCTGACAAGACAAAAACTTTTTTTTTAATTGTTCGATTTCATTCACAGACATTAGATTAAGGATTTATGGATTTTCTTTGTACTGCAGACTGCAATCTTCAAGAAAAACACAAGAAGTTTTTTTTATTATTATTATTTCTTTTTTTATTCTTTAGTGTATTAGGACAGTAACAACTTCAACCTGGAAGTACACAAAATAAATGTCCACTCATCAATTGCTAAAACTTAAGTGGGAAATTTAGATTAAACCTGGGAAGTTTCAATTAGTTGCAACATTTGTTTATTTTATTTATAATATGTGCTCCTTTTTTTATCAATCTTCATCCCTCTTTTTGAAAGTCTGTTGCTGTATCCTGAACACATCTTCAATAAAATAAAAAGTATATTATAATTCCAATTAACTTATTTTTTTGGTATAACCTATACAGCGGATACAAAAGGTCCACAGACCACTCTCCAAACGCTAGGTGTTTATACACATCACAACGATGGAAAGAAATGGGACAAAGATAAATCATTTCAGATTTAAACGCAATATTTATCTTGTGCTATTCAACTGCAAAGGTAAAGCTAAAAAAAGTGAAATAGCTGCTATAATTTGGTAGCATAAGTGCGCACAGTCATAAGGAAATTCTTCACTGAACCATTTTTTTAATTCGATTTCAATCATGCCTTGCTTGCCAAGCATAAGTAGTTCATCTGATTATTTGTAAAAAGTCAATTGTCGTAGTGAGATTTTCTTGATTTACTTTTTCTTTCTTTAAATCTCGCATAAATTTTCTGTTTCACAATTGCAAAATAGTAAACCAAAACTCCTGAACTCCTTTGGTTTTGGTGTGCAAACCCCCGTAGGGAGAGCAGCTTCACATCCAGGACCGACAGGTTCTGCCAGACCTTCAGTCCATAGAACATGTGATGGTTAAAAACCTGATAACAGACTTTACCTAAGTGGGAAGACATTTGTTCCCACTACACTTCATTACTTTTAAAATTTTTTTTTTTTTTTTAGCACCACCTAGGTACAGCAAAGTTACATTTTTGGAATCATTACATTTCACATCTTACTATTTTAGATTTTAAAATTCATTTCCAGTTTTCTTCGCATACTGTGTTTTTGACACAATAATTCTTTTGCAAAAAAAAAAAAACACATTTGCTTTAAAACGTCTACTAAAAATGAGTTTGTTGCATATAGTAGATAAATATCGTAACATTATCACTGAATAGTCTATGTTATCAATGTGACCACAATCTTCCATTTTACAAGTCTATAATCCTCCAATTTATAAGGAGGCTTCATAATGCAGAGCAGGACCAAAGAACAGAGCTTTAAACATATTTTCCATCGAACATGTTACTGTGGAATATTATTGTCTCTGCTGCCTGGAAAAATGGCGGAGAAGTCTGAACCAGAGAGACTGACTCACTTAACGGAGGTATTTCCCGTCCACAGTGGCCCACATACCACTGGCTGATATTGTTGGACGGAAAAGTCCTCAGAATATCTCTATTAGCAATAACGTATTTCTCACAGGTCGGCTCACACACTGGGACAACATTTACGCTTTAATTATTAAAGCAAAAACAAGATTTAATGTGACTTTTTCCTTGTGTGGCGAGCTCCACAGATGAAGATCAGGGCCTCGGGAGAAGATTCTGAATTTAATCTCATAAACAAAAAATGAGAATTTATTCATTCATTTATTGTCAGTGGCCCTAAGTCCCATGTGGTAATGATGAGTAACGTCAGTTCAGAAGAGCTGTTGTGAGTGGCGGCGTGTGTTCCGGTGTCTCAAACAAACTTACAGGTTCTCCAGAACTTCGTGTCGACGAAGATGAGTTTACGCTGTATTTTGTTCCCATTTTCGTTCCAAAAACACGTCCAAACCTGATGTGTTTTTACGGAGGTCTGTCTACTGAATCAGCAGCAGACACCGCGGTAAAAGAGAAAGCGTCACTCAAGAACAAACACGGAAGTGCAGTAAAAGCCGAGATAAAAACCTAAAAACCCTCTAAATTCAAAAAGAGAATAAACACGGAAACAGGTAACATTTTTAGCGTTACCTTTTCCAGACAACTCCTCAACTACGTTGTGTAGTTTTATCTTCTTCTTCTTCTTTTTATTATCGGTTTTACTGGCGGTTGGCAACAAACTGTTAGTAGCATTACCGCCACTTACTGGTATGGAGTGTGGTTCGTGATGGTCTAAATATTTATCCATATCCTACCATAAATTCTACCTAAACATACACTCACACATACAAACGTAAAAACACATACGTGCTTATGCACAATTTTGTATGCCATTCTTCTATATTATGCACACAGTCACAAACATACCTACTATAATCAAATTCTACTAAATAATTTAGTTTTCTTTAGAAATCGAATAATTATTTGCTAGTTTTATCTATTTCGATATGGTTCATAAAAACGTGGATTAGCACGGAAGTACGGAAGCTCGTAGAGGAGATTAGGGATTTTTTTGTTTTTTTGTTTGTTTTTTTGCGATACGTCACAGTACGTATGGCATCTTGAATGCTGAAACCCTTCCTGCTATAATATGAGATTTTTTTTTTTTTTGCAAGGGTTCTCCATAATATCTCGTTAGTGAGATATCTGAAGTTTTATATCTTTTTCTTTAGAATGCCAATGCACCACAAACGTGTGCAAAATTCAAAAGCAGAACAGATAAAATATTTCATCTCCTTCTATCCCTTCTAAGACATCAACAAAAACTTTCTGTTACATGGAAAGACAGACAAACTTACATTCAAATTATTTAGACTGCCCTGCGACAGACTGGTGACCTGTCCAGGGTGTACCCCGCCTCTCGCCCAGAACGTTAGTTGGAGATAGGCACCAACACCCCTCCCGACCCCAGTAGTGACAAGGGTGTATAGAAAATAAATGGATGGATGAATTATTTAGACTATTTTTATAAAAATACAAATGCCAAAATAACCAATTAATAGAAAGATTTTCAACCAGTTTCTGCATCAAAGAGAATGTAGAAATAAGCTTTGCTGAGGCTCTTTAAAGCCTTTACCTGAAGATGCAGGTAAATGCACACAGTTACCTGTGTGCATTTTAAAAGATATTTGTGACTGTACATTAAATAGAGACCAGGGGGGCAGCTTTAGACTGTTTTAGAGCACTTCAGTGGTGCAGACCAGAGGCGGGCTTTGTGGGAGGTAATGCACGAGTCATTGTCATTCAGATGGTGGGTGGTGGTGGTGGAGGACAGGGAATGGGGGGGAAAGGGTCTCATGCTGCCCCTTGATGAGATATGCCACCTTAGGCTGTTACTATGTAGCCCATACCCGAAACAACCACTCCTGGGGTGTATTTGCTAATTTACTGCAAGGGACTGCAATACTTTTGTGAGATACTGCAAAACAAAAAGATTCCTCAGTCTCATAGGGGGCTCCTGTCTGCACCGCAAGATAAGCTTAAAACGTCTTCTTTAAAAAAAAAAAAAAAAGTTTCTTCTTGATTTTTTTTATTGGTGGTTTTCAAGAAGCATATTATGTGCATTATTGCCACCTAGTAGTTTATATGTGGCTCAAAATGTACTTTTTATCGATAATGATATTTTGTTAACCAGTTTTGTTTTCCTAAAAACATTATTCAAATTTGAATACTTTAACCATTTGAATATTGCCGTAGTATATTTATTAAATCTTTAATTTTTTCTAAATTCTTGTACATTGCACAGCATTATGTTAAATTTAAAGCTTCTCACCTTCTCACCGTGCAGAAGAAGTAAAACGACCTCCAGTTGCAGGATACTTTGAGTCACAGAGATAAACGAGTTTTGGTCAGTAATGTGCAAGTGGACCACAGAACAAAAACCAAAGACTTTGTGAAGATGCTGACCTAAGTAAAACGCCTCATGCACCAATATGAGCTAAAAGACCACTCAGTGAGGAAGAAGCCTTAAATTTAAAAATAAATGTAAAAAGCCAGACTGCAGTTTGCAAATGCACAGAGGGACAAATACATTCATTTAGTCTGATGACTAAAGTGGAAATGTTTGCCCATAATGACCAACATTACATTTGGAGGGAAAATGGGGATGCTTGTTCCCTGCTTATTGTAAAGTAGGGAGGTGGCAGCATCATGCAATGGGACTGTTTTTCTGGAGGAAGCAGCGGAACAATTCATAAAATAGATGATATGTAGAAATATTGAAGCAACATCTAAATTCAACAGACAGGAAGTTAAAGTGTGTGCATAGATTAGTCTTTACAGCCCAAGTTATACAGAGGCTTAAGGACAACAAAGTCAGTGTTTTGATGTGGCCATCTCAATCCTATGAAGAAGTTATGGATAGATCTGAAAATGTGTGTGCAGGTTGCCTGATAGAAGTTAAGGAAACCCAACAGGTTTTTGATCCAAGTCACTCAGTTAAAAGACAAATATCCATGATATTGGCCAAATGTATGTAAAGTTCCGAATTTGAATATTACAAAAAAATCTCTAAAAAATATTCTTGCAAAGTTTTCTGACGTTTAGCGAATGGAAATAATTTAAGTAATTCTACCTAAAACAAGAGGTTCAGTTTGATTCAACTTCAGATAGTCAGAAAATAAAGGGTGTCTTTATGAGGTGTGTGTAAACTTCTGTTTTCAAATGTATTTAAATATACAGAAAAAAAATCTGCTATTTCATAAAATAGTCAGAAGACTTTAGCATTAAGATAAATTAATGCTAAATGATCATTTTTGCAAAATAAGTTACACCATCTTATGTGATACTTGCATTTGATAACTGAATTTTTATCGTAATTCATACACATCATACTGACGGAATACAACTGTTTAAAAACTTTAGAATCAAGTGTGTTTTGGAACAAAACAATAACTACAACAATGGGTTAATATGCCAAAAACTTTTATTGAATCGGAAGGTTTTTTCCCACCAAATTTGCTTGATCATATTTCTCGTAGGGTGTTACCACAAGAATAACACCCTATTCACATAAAAAAAAAAGGTTTCAAAAACAATAACTATTTAACACTGTAGAGATCTGTGTTTACAAACACGTTGTCTTCCAGAACAGGTAAGATACATGCATTTACACAGTCTTGAAGCAATTCCAACAATTTCAGTTTCATTGGTTATGTTATTAAGTGAGGCAGGACTGTTTAATTGATGAATGGACTTTTGATTAAGTAAGTTAACCCAGCAGTACAGTGTGTGAGTGTGTCTAGTTCTAGTGTAACAGACGTAGAAATCTACAAGTAAAAACAATCCTTGGTTGATTTTTGATCTAAGTTACAAAACGTTTGCGAATAACAAAATCTCTTTTTACGATTTAGACATATTTTGAGGCATGTGTGTAGGAGTCATTTAACAGAATAATTTGCCATCTGGAGACAATATAAGAATAAAAACCTTCCTGACTTGCATGTTTTACGTCAGTACATTGCAGGATGTTTCTGAGGGAAAATTGCTATGAAGGCCAAAAGGTTAAGATTTTTCTTCAATCAAAGATGTTCAGAGTTGTCTTCCTAACAGAGTTGCATAAATAAGCTAGCTGTCCAATGCTGGACAAATTTCAACGCAGCTCTCCGTTACACGAATGCCATACCATCCTCCCCAGAACTGTGTGTCTTTGCCACCGTGGGTGAAACGGACATATCTCACTCCTGGTCCGTAGTCCTTGAAGACATACTCCATCTGAAAGACAAAAATAAAATCAGTAACATGAACTTATTTTCCTCTACATTGCATTGATCTTTGTAACATACTTGATGCCACTGTTGATCATTCCACTGTGGAATAGTAACGTCCTGAGGCCTGAAGTCCTGCAGAACATTTTTCTTGCGGTCTAGTAGCTGCACAGAAATCTGATAGATGCTTCCACAATCCGAACGCGCCCCATACCTGACAACGGACAAATATAAGTTAAAGTTTTCTTTTTGTTTGAACAAAAAAAAAAAAAAAAATCAGAAAAAATTCATGTTGATTTTTCTCACCAGTCAGATATCCGGATAGGCGGCTGAAACTCGTCCATAAATGATTGGCTGTAACCTTCTTTCATCAAATTGATCACCTGCTCTTTTGTGCACCAACTGCAGACAACAGATTTTATTCACTTAATTAGTAATTACAACTTCAGTTGTATAAACACATGAAAACATTTCTAATGCTGGTGATTTCTCACCCATAAGAGGTCACATAGTTTTTCTTTACTGCTGGATTTGAATGTTGCGCCCTAGATCCCTCTATTGTCCACTTATCTCCACCGTTTTTCAGTATTTTCCAACCTTGAAATTCATCTAAGAAAACAAAAGATGAGTGTTTGGATTTTCTAAAACATAGCAGAAAAATAATACCACGGTGTAACATTGAATACATTTTAATTTTCACCTTCTGCTCTTGGATTCTTTATGAGATTTCTCCTCTTCTTGCACAAGAAGTAAAACAACCTCCAGTTGTTGCTGGGTACTCTGGAAGGATCACGGAGGTGATATCCCTCTCTTCTACATCTTTCTCTCCAGAAAGACTCGCTGTCGGCCACATCTTTCCACTGGCGGCACACTAATCGACACACACACACCACGTATTGGGGGGGCAGATTTAGGAAGATTTCCTCCAGTATGTCCAACGGAAGAGGGATGACCTGACAAGACAAAAACAAAAAAACAAAAAAAATTGTTCAATTTAATATTTAGCAGCGAAAGAAAATGGTGCAGATTAGAATTGCTTGACAACATCAAGAAAATGTTACTGGAATATTATCCCTGCTCCCTGGAAAAGGAGTTGAGCACTCTTAGTCAGAGGTCTCATTAGATCCATTACATGGTTACGGATCACTGGACATCCTTCCCGTCCACAGTGACACATTGACAAGCGCCCACACATTCGTCTCGCTATCTTTGCGGGGATTTTCCATAGACTTTCATTGATTTCTACAGCCTAACCAAAACTCAATTCAAACTTTAGTCCTAAAAAGTGAGAGTGAGATTTTTTTTTTTCCTGTCCCTAGTATTTTTTCGCAGTTACCAGTAATTTGAATACAGAGATGTGGTGAGTGGCTGCGTGTGTTTCAGTCTCAAACAAACTGACAGGTTCACCAGAACTCTGATCCGGCGAAGGTGAAGAGCCGCTGCCTGCCTTTAGCCATTTCCGAATCAGAAACCAACTTCAGCTTCGTAGTTTCACCAGAACTCCGTATCGGCGAAGCTGAGTTGACGCTGTATGAAGTTCCCATTATGGTTCTGGTCGTCCTCTTCATGTCCGGGATGAACCAGAGTCTCGTGTGGTTTTAGTAGACAGCTGCCTGTCTTACACGGGTACAGATAGCCGCCTCTTCGGAAAAGACAGTAAAGCCAACCTGCACTCGATTTTGCCGTGCGCGACTGCACAAGGCTTTACGGCGCCCTCCTTTACATTTATAGTCTCCTTTCAAATAAAAGCGCACCTCAGGTTTATGTTGAATTCACACGACGACTATGGAAGTTTATGTTAAGTTGTCAGTAGCATACTGCGCATGTGTGAGATGTAAGGTAGTAGGAGGCGGGGCTAGAGCTGTAGTTTTTTCATTCGGTTGTGAGTAGCGCGGGAGACCTGAGTGAAGTTGCCCCCCGCCCCCCCACCTTCTTCAAATCAGACAAAATTGGTGTCAAACGTTTGTGCTACGTTTGTGCTGGTTTGTGCAGCAAAAATTTTTGTTTGTGCCACTATCATTTTAAAGATATAAAGAAATGTTTCCAGAGGTCATCCAAGGTCAACCAACCCCCCACAATCTTCAAATCAGACAAAATGGGTGTCAATCAACTCAGCTATGTTTGTGTTGATTTGTGCAGCAAAAAATTTCGTTTGTGCTGCTTTGGCTTTGAAGATATTAATGAAAGTGTAAAGGTCCAAAGGTCAACCAGTCCCCCCATCTTCTGAAAATAAATGAAAATATATTGTGTGTAAAAAAAAAAAAAAGTCACGTAAGCCACATATGCAACCTCAATCAAAAATGGTGACACTGGAGAGGCAAAACAATGTTTCTGATTGCATAAATAATGCGTTACCAGTTACTTCTCTCACTTCAGAGCGACACATTTGTTTATCTGCTACTAGTTTAGAATAATCCAGTCCAAGTTTGAAATGTCTATACTTGTAGTTTTTAAAGTAGAACAAATTAAAGATACAGATGACACGGAAAAAATACAACCGTTTAGAAACTTTAGAATCAGTATGTTATGGAAAAGTACAATAACCACAAGGATGGGTCAATGTACCAAAAGCATTTATTGAATCGGAAGCTTTTGTCAACACTCTGCTTGCTCATATTTGTCATACAGTGTTGCCACGAAAAATGTAATCATGAACACTTTACACACAGGTTTAAAAATGAACTTTTAACATTGTAGATATCTTACCCTACTCTGGTCCACTTTTTTACAAGGATGTGGTAGAAATATTCATCACATCAGAAATATGTTAACAATAGATATATCAAATTACAGCAGAATTTTTAACAAAATTATTTTTTAAAGGGATAGGCTGCATAAAATGAGGCTGTTTTTTGTTTTTTTGCAAACCAAGAATATGCATTTACATAAAGTGCAAAGTTTGAGGTTATTCTTAATTCATAACACCACATACATAGGAGGCATCTTAACATGAATACACATTCAGCTAACATGTAAGTGGCAGCAAATGGTAGCTTTTCAGACAAAACAGTTGGTTAAAAAATAAATGTGCAAATTAGAAGAGGAATAAAGGTAGTGGTGTTGTCCTCCAGAACAGGTAAGATACATACATTTAAACAATCATGAAGCAATTCCAACTACTTATATTGCATTGTCTTAGTAAGTGAGGCAAGACTGCTTAATTGACTAATGAACGTTTGATTAAGTAAGTTGACATAGTTCAGCAGTAGTTAAGCATGTTAACTTGACCTTTGACCTTCTAAACACCTACAACCTGTCGATTTCTGCATGTTGCGTTTACATCAAGCATTGAGAAAGTATTTTAAATGTGTATATGAATAGTTTTGTGTGTTTTCCAGCCTTTGGAAAACGCACAGTGTGCCCAGTACTAGAGTAACCTACAAACAAGTAAAAGAAAACCTTGGCTGCTTTTACATCCAAATTATACTATGCGCATAACAAAGCGTCTTTGTACAATTTAAACATATTTTGAGGTATGTGTAGGGAAGATTTAACAGAATAATTAAACATTTGGCATCTGGAAATAATATAAGAATAAAAACCTTCTTGACTTACATGTTTTTGTCAGTAGATTGTAGAATGAGGCAAAATAGCTTAGAAGGCCACAATGATAATATTTTTTCTAACTCAAGTACTCAAAGATGTTCAGAGTTGTCTTCCTAGCACAGTTGCGTAAATAAGCTAGCTGTCCAATGCTGGACAAATTTCAACGCAGCTCTCCGTTACACGAATGCCATACCATCCTGCCCAGAACTGTGTGTCTTTGCCACCATGGGTGAAACGGACATATCTCACTCCTGGTCCGTAGTCCTTGAACACATACTCCATCTGAAAGAAGAAATAACATCAGTAACGTGAGTTTATTTTTCTCTGCAGTTGCATTGATCTTTGTAACATGTACATACTTGATGCCACTGCTGGTCATTCCACTGAGGAAAGGAAAGGAGCTCAGGACTAAATTCCTGGAGAATGTCTTGCTCGTGATCTAGTAGCTGCACAGAAATCTGATAGATGCTTCCACAATCCCAGCGGGGTGCGTACCTGACAATGGACAACTATGAATTGAAGTTTTCCTTTTTTTTGAGAACTTTTTGAGAAAAAAATATAAATAATTTGTGTGCATTTTTCTCACCAGTCAGATATCCGGATAGGCGGCTGGAACTCATCCATAAATGATGGGCTGTAACCTTCCTTCATCAGATCAATCACCTGCTCTTTTCTGCACCAACTGCAGACAACAGATTTAATTCACTTAATTAGTAATTACAACTTCAATTGTATAAACACATGAAACATTTCTAGTGTTAGTGAATTCTCACCTATAGGAGGTCACAAAGTTTTTCTTTACTGCTGGATTTGAATGTTCCACCATAGGTTCCTCTATTTTCCACTGATTCCCACCGTTATCCAATATTCTCCAACCCTGAAATTCATCTAAGAAAACAAAAGATGAGTATTTGGATTTTCTGAAACATAGCAAGAAAATAATGCTACTGTGTAATGTTAAGTAAAGGTAATTTCACCTTCTGCTCTTGGATTCTTTATGAGATTTCTCCTCTTCTTGCACAAGAAGTAAAACAACCTCCAGTTGTTGCTGGCTACTCTGGAAGGATCACGGAGGTGATATCCCTCTCTCCTACATCTTTCTCTCCAGAAAGACTCGCTGTCGGCCACAACTTTCCACTGGCGGCACACTAATCGACACACACACACCACGTATTGGGGGGGCAGATTTAGGAAGATTTCCTCCAGTATGTCCAAAGGAAGAGGGATGACCTGATAAGAACAAAATATATTTTTTAAAATAGTTTTCTACATTTCAAACAGACATTAGATTAAGAATGTATAAGTTTTTAGTATTGCAGACTCAAAAAGTGTTTTTTGGTGTATTGGGGCAGTAACAACTTAATCCTGGAGGTATAACCGATACAGCGTGTATAAAAAAATCTACATAACCCCGTCAAAATGCTAAGTGTTTATAAACATCACAATTAAAGGAAAAAAATGTGACGAAGACAAATCATTTGAGACCTAAACACAACATTTGTGATGTACTATTCAACTGCAAAACAAAATATGTGTGGGAAAAATTTTAGAAGTAAAAAAGCTGCAATTATCTGACAGCATAAATGTACACAGCCTTAAGGAGATTCTTCATTGAACCATTTTTTGATTCAATCTCAGGATTCAGTCTTCTTGACCTACTATTCCTGATAGTTCATCTGTCTGTAAAAGTCAATTGTCGTAGTAAGATTTTCTTGATTTACTTTTTTTTTTCTTTATATCTCACATAAGTTTTCTGTTTCAAAATACTAAAGATAAATACTAAAATAAAACTTGTGAACGCAGGTTCACAACCAGGACAGACAGGTTCTGCCAGAGCTTCATTCTCCAGGCCATGTGATGGTTACGGTAAATCTGATAACAAAAATAGTGCAAGACTTGAGCTAAGTGGTAAGACATTTGTTCCCACTACACTTCATTATTCTCAAACTTTTTTCCTGCTTTCAGCAGTCATTGAAATGTTACCACCATCAAGGTACAACAAAATTATATTTTTGAAACCATTAAATTTTACAGCTTACTATTCGTAGATTTTAAAATTCCTTTTATTGAGAAGCCAGGGAAAATTCAGTTTTTTTTCAGCTGTATATAGCACAGAGTAGCACAGTAAAGCTTTTGCAATGAACAGATTTCCTTTGAACCTACTGAAATTGGTGTTTGTTGTGTAGGATTTTAAAGTATTTCAAAGTTAAAATAATACATAAATGTAACATTATCTCTTAATAGTCAATATTCTGTATCATTTTAGCTTCAATGGGAATAATTCCTATTTTCTACTTGTATGTATTTTTTCGTTGTTTTTAATCATTTATTTATAGAGCGAAGCATAGTAAATACTTTATGTAATACAAACACAAATATACAAAGTCTTAGAAGACACCAGAAGACACCACACAGTCAACAACTGAGAAAACAATAAACATTACATTTTGCCAAGTGCCATTGTTACACATCAACATGTTGGTCAATTTTTCATTTATCATGGTTCAAAAGCAACTCTGGACAGGTTTAAATCTAGGTTTAAAGGAACTCAGTGTTTCGGGTGTTTTACAATTTTCTGGAAGTTTGTTCCATATTTGTGGTGCATAGCAGCTGAATGCTGCTTCTGCATGTTTTGTTCTGGTTCTGAGGATGCAGAGCGAGCCTGAACCAGAAGACCTGAGAGGTCTGGAAGGTTGATGCAACAACAGCAGATCTTTATTGTATTTTGGTGCTGAGCCATTCAGTGATTTATAAACTAATAATAGTATTTAAAAGTCTATTCTCTGAGCTACAGGGAGCCAGTGGAAGAACTTTAGAACCGGGGTGATGCGGTCTGACTTCCTGGTTGTAGTGATAACGCCAGCAGTGGCGTTCTGGATCAGCTGCAGCTTGAGGACTGATTTTTCAAGCAGACCTGTGAGGTCACTGCTGCAGTAATCAATGCAACTAAAGATAAACGCATAGATGAGTTTCTCTAGATCTTTCTGAGACATTAGACCTTTAATCCTGGAAATATTCTTCAGGGGTACCTGTATTTATTTGGCTCTGAAGCTTCAGGTCAGAGTCCATCACTACACCCAGATTTCGGGTCTGATCTCTAGTTTCTAGTTTAAATGTAATAACTGAAGCTGTGGACTTTTAACTGAAGCTCCTTCCCGTCCACAATGACACATGCGCACACATACCACTGATGGGAAAGTCCCTTTAATACCTCGGCCCAAAGTACAATCAAGTTTTAACATGAATTTTTTATGACTTCAATCCCAGAAATAAAAAGTCAGAATTTTTCATGTGATGAGTAATTTGAGTGTGGTGAGTGGCTGCGTGTGTTTCAGTTTCTCTAATAAAACTTACAGGTTCACCAGAACTCCGTATCGGCGAAGGAGAATTGACGCTGTATGAAGTTCCCATTATGGGTCTAGTCTTCCTCTTCATGTTTAGGATAAATCCAAGTCTGGTGTGTTTTACAGAGCTGACTTCTGACTAAATCAGCAGCAGACGCCTTCAAAAGAGAAAGTGTCACTCGATAACAAACACGGAAGTGCCGTTAAACCCGAGATAAAAGCTAACAGCCCTCCAAACTAAAAAATATATATATATATATAGTTTTGGCCTTATTTTTTTATTCGTTTCGATTCCTTTACCCAAATATCACCCACGTTATCTTTGCAACGTCCGATTTAATTTCGGGATGGGTATCACTATGCTGTGCATATTTAGATACGCGACGAATGCTTTTTAGGTCCTTTCTTAAACGGAAATACCGTCTTAAACGGCTCCTTAGAGAAAGGTTCCGGGCAAGCTAGGTTCCTAGCTACTAATCCATGAGTCAGAGTTAAAAAGTTCATATTTTGGTTAGGGTTGCCACCTTTCAGAAATCAAAATAAGGGACGCCCACCACGGCGTGTCACCCTACTTTCATGGGGTGGGATAGCCGCTGCCGCGATAGACAATATTTATGGCAGTGTTTTTTTGTTTTTAAAAAGCGATCCAGAGGGGGATGCTGTGAAGGCGCAGGCGCAAAGCACAAGTTTGGTCCATCGCAGGGTTGCAAAGCTTGACCAATATTTTTTGTAAAATATTATCTAATATTTTTGGTATGACTTGGTATGACAGCGCTTCCAAAGTTGTTGCTTAGTCATAGTTGTCTGCTCATGAAGTGTAACAACCCCTTTGGAAAAATTATGTTTTTTGAGACTGGTGTATGTCTGGTTTAGGCTCATGGTATCAATGTTTGTCTGAGGCCTATAATAAAGTGTTTGGCATCTTCTTAAACAAGACCCTCTTGACTTTTAATTAAGGCATGTTTTGAGTCTCTCTGACCAACACAGAGGTCACTGGAGCTTGTTAAGTCAAAAAATAATACAAATTTTTCCATACATTTTGCCTAAATGCATTTCTTTTAGCCCATTGGTATTGTTGAGATTAGTAAATTAGTTAAATCATTATGATTACTATTATGTGTTGAGATGCTTTACCAAGGCCGAGAAAGAGTCACACGCTGTTAGACAAAGGGCCCATAGTAAAGAGTTACATTTTTGATTCTGTTAGACACCAAGGTCCATTTCTCACGAGAAACAGAAACTTATCAGGCCACAGAGACATGGTATGATTTGAGGGAGTGTCTTCCGTCCATATAATCAGCTGCCCTCCTCTTTCTCCTCAGACGCTGCACAGACTTTTTTAGAAACTCTCCTCGGATGTAATGGTAAAGCGTCTCCTTTCAGCGCTGAAAGTTAATAAAATAAGTAAAGTCTGAATGATTTTCTTGGCTGATTTTATGCTCCGAGTGTCAATACAAATTATGATTCATCGATTGAGATTCTCGTTCTCAACAGTATCTAGGACATGAGTTAACAACTGAAATACTCAATAGACTAAGGATTCCGAAAATGTCTAATAAACTGGACAAGACAGCATACAACCATGCAGTAACATTGGTGGACTGGAGAATCCCCTGGAATATTGGGAAGGATAAAAAATGTTTTATCCCAACTTCTACAAATTTGCTGATGCTTTTCTGGTTACATCCATAATCTTTGAAAGAGTATTTTCTATACCAGACGTAAACATCTCAAAACAGAGAAACTGTCTGAAGCTGAGAACAATAAAAGTTTTTTTTATATTTAGGGAAAAATAAATAAAATTTTGTCCCTGGTGACATTTTGGTAACAAAATAACACAAGTCCATTTACATCACAACCTTTTCCCATATTTGCTTCAAGGTTTTCCTTTTTATCTACAGCCACTGCTTCATAAAAATAGATTAAGACAATATTCAGAATTTATGTATTCGCATCACAAAAATCATTCATTCAATTTAAAGCTTCACACATGAGGTCATCATCACTCGATGTTGCAGAGTAGAGCATATGAAGGATTGTGGCCCGTCAGCTCAAAGCCTCAGTGGATCATGAAACTTCATCTCTCCATCACTATCGATTACGAAAACCAAACTGCACCAAACACCCACCCACCAACCCGCCTCTACTGTCTTAAACTCCCATGGTGCATTGCACCGTTTTGGGCAATTGATGTTGCATTCTTAAGCTCTCATGCTGTTGACTTACAAAACCCAACTCAAATCACCCATTGTAATTGCAGTCTTTTCTCATAGAAAAATATGGAATAACAACAAAGAAAAATTCAATGTAAATTTGAGCAAAATGAGAGAAAATGATTTTAATAATATGGCAAATAAACAGAGATTCTTTCATGTCTTCGATCCAGTAGGCACTGCAGTTTTTGTTCAAGTACACAGAACTCTGTCAAAATTTGCAAGCCATCCCCAAAACCAAACTGATCCCAACGAGGGCAGAACTCAGGTTTATGATGAGAACAGCTGATTTTTTGACACATTTAGCAGGCCAAAACCCCGTCCATTGAATACTGGTTCTGATAAATCCAGTCTGTCATCTTATTCCACTCTCAATATTTAAATGAACATCAGGGCAAACGGGTAAATTCATGATCTCTGAGTAACAAAGACTGATTTCCAAGTCGCATCTAAAACATAGGTCTCTTCATCTTCTGTCCAACAGTCTAGAGACAAGTCTTTTGTTTTGGTCAGAACAAGCACTTCTATGTGTCTGAATCAATCCTGTGAGCTGGAATGAGAAGAAGGAGAGAGAAATTACAACTGGCAATTTCTTCAATACAATTTCCTTCAACAACAAAACACAGATACTTTTGTGTTGTGCTATCCAGGAAAACTTACATTGCTTTGGTATCCTGAGTGGTTCTGTGTCTCCTGACAGGACTTGATGCATGACTCCACGGAACTGATACAGCACCTTCAGGCTCTTCTCCTCCCCCACACAGGGGTCATAGAAGCCAGGGAGTCCTGACTGAACAGACAACTCAAAGTAATGCACCATCAGCTGCACCAGTAAATACTAAAACATAGTAGTTGTTGAACCTGCTTTGCTTTAGGTTCCCACATAGAAACACAGTTCTTACCTTTGAGGCCTCAGTGAGAATGAGTTTGGAGTCTTTCACCAGACACTGAAGTGGCACGGTCACATCGATGACCTTTGCCCTCTCGTGCTTTCTGCTATTGTCCGTCACAAATTTGCCGTACCAAGCGTTGAGGATGATGAGACCTAAATAAAGAAGGAGCAGCGACAACATTACAGTGTGCTGCTGTATGATGCTGTCAGGGAACAATTTCCAAACTGAATTAATTTATAATATTCTGACATGAAGAGTGCCGCAGCAGCAAGAATGTTTATTTTTTTGGGCCTGACTCCAGTCTTCAAAAACAAAAAAAACTCTTTCGGGAAATAAAGTGTAACTGAAAATTCAAGACTCAAATCACTGCTCAAATATGAATGTTCTTACCCATTCGAGATTCCTCTGCTTCAATGATCCTTCGGACAGACTCCTGCATGAGCAAAACCTTCAGAGGTGGAAAAAAACGAAAGCCAGAAGTCAGGCATCAAGATATGCGGCCAATAAATTCCATTGCTTCTTTGCATGTTATCCAATTCGATCTCATCCGCTCATCTTACTTGTTGATGGGCAAAATAATTCTCAGCAGTCAGACACATTTATTAACATCTCTAATCTCAAACCCCACCATGGATGCTGCTGGACACGAACCACAACTACATATAAATCTGTCAAATACTCACAGCTGCCTCTGCTTCCTGTTTCTTCTTTGCTATATTAGAGGCTGAACTCTCCCTCTGCTTCTCCAACTCTCTGAATAAAACAAAATGAAGAAATAAAATGAGGCCATAAAATCTGGCCATAGCAATAAAGGAGAGCGTCCTCTCCAATAAGAAGACTGCTCGGATGACAAGCAGGAATGTTACTTACTGTTCCTTTTGGGCACGCACATAGGGCCGAATGACGAGCTGCTGGATGGCGAGGTAGAAAACCAGAGGTCCAACCGTGGCGTAGAAGATTGCACTTGGCAGGAGTTGGTCAGTGAGGTGAATAGGGAAGAAATACGTCTGGCTGGCTCTGTTCAGCCTGAAGTTGGAGAAATTATTTTATCGTTTGCATCGAGGACATCGAAACATAGATAGCAAATTAAAATCAATGTGTAATTCCACACATCCTTTGGAAAACAAAACTTAGACAAAATCTATCACAGCAACTCCCAGCGCAGGCAGAAACAGGAAATATCTACATGCTTTCACTGACTGACAGTTTTGACTTTACGCTTTCAGGTGCCATGGTAACAGCACAGTGAAATAGAAGAAACCAACATTTGGAAAAACAACAGGTGGGAATGAAAGAAAGTGGAGCAGGGTTTTGCACTCACTTGATCTTGAGGGAGACGCCCTGCGGGACTCCCACGCTGACGGTGGCCCCCACCACACTGTGCCGACTGATCTTCCTCTCAGCGCCGTACTCCACCACCGTACCAAAGAAACCCGATCTGCCACATTACAACAGAGTTACCAACTCACCACATGTGGGCTGCTCTGATTTAGAGTGCAAGTTATTGGGTAAAACATTTGAAACGATGTGATGACAACTTGTCACCCATATTATGCAAAAAGCTACTGGCACTTCATTCTCCAAACAAAAGCTCTTGCTCTGGTTTACTGGTGCATCTCAGTAAACCAGAAAATCAGTGAAAAGTTCATTTAGTCCAGTAATTTAATTCAAAAGGTGAAACCGATACAGATTCAACAGGTATCTTTTCATAGAGGGATGTATGAAATATATTAGTAAGCTAAGTGGAAGGAAAAAATGTGGCACAAAAGTGCAAAAACAACAAGAATAACTTGAGAGGATTGAACATTACATCAATTAAAATAAGCTGACATTTCTTTAATCAATTCTCTTATTCTGATTTTATGAGAGACTGATCTGTGGGTTTTCATAACCATTGAAATTAATAGAAATAAATGATTAAAATATCTTACTAGGTGTAATAAACTGAATTTCACACAATACTCCAATTAATAAGATGAACCCACATGTCATATTTATAACGAGGCTCCAGACAGTTTAACCTGAAAATCTGTCGGAGAATCAATAACATATTTTGCCTTCAGGGTAAAGGATTATAGTTAAGGTCATTCAGGGTTTTTCCCCACATCAAATTGCACAAATATAACTCAAAGTTTGCATAAGCAACAAACAATTTATGAATACCGGGTAGATATTGTATCTTTTTGAGTGGGGCAAGAATGGTGAGTTTATCCTTCACCCAAACGTCAATACAATGTGTTAAGAACCAAAACAGAAAACTAAATGATGAAGATGGTTTTTAAATCTACACAGAAAAACAGTAGTTGATGCTTAGCTGTTAAGAGCAGGCCTTTCTCAGGTTGTTTCAAATCATAAGTCTGCAAAATTTTCATAATATATTCTCACACTCTGCCTTGACATATAAATTATAATAATACAGGTAAATATGTGCATCAACAGGAATCTAATAATCCCGGTAGACCAGCGGTCTGCTGCCATATAATCCAAAGGAGGAATTTTCACTCTTTGTCCAGCTAAAACTCATCAAGGACCGCAAATGTTATATGACCTTCTGAGAAAATCCGTTTTATTTTAATAAATATCTACAATTGGAAAAGTGTAATTTTATTTATGTTTTTTTAAAAAAAGGTACCATATATTTTTGTTTGAGTTTTTAAATTTTGGGGGTTTAAAATAAAGAGAACCTTTGCAAAAACAGAATGGATACAATTTATTTTTACTGGTACTGTTGGTGTCATTCTGTTGTGTAAGTTCAATGGAATTATGAAAAATTGAAAAAAACAGCACAAAACTGCATTTATATGTATTTAGAAAACACTAATTTGATATTTATCATTTTAAGCCAAAATTATTAAGAGCCATTATGGAAAGTCTGAAGAGCCACTTGCAGCTCCGGAGCCAGAGGTTGAAGACCCCAGAAATAGACTTAACAGAGGAAAGAGTTACATTAAGCGCCACCTTGTGGTGTCCTGCCTGGCGAGTGCTGAAAGGAAACTGTTCTTTTTTTTTTTATTTGGGGGAGAAAATTTTTGATGTTGTTGTATATTACTGTATTTCTGGCGTAAAGTTTAGTCCCAAACAACAGCAACAAAAAGTGGATTTAGTTCAACTTGGATGGCATTTTACTTTTTAAAAGTTCATCTCTGTCTGTGAGAGGGTTAGATTTTCTGTTACTTGAACACTGACATCTTTTGCAGTCGCAAAATTCTGCTGCAGAGAGAGTACAAGAGAACTATCCAGATCATCTATAAAACAAAAACGACTTATCTGCTGGGACTTCTTCATGAGGTTCTGAAAGTAATTTTCTCACCTTTCACGTGAATTTACAACTGCATTACGTCACATATAGTGAGCTCTGACAACATACTTTACTGAGCCTTTAATCTTCGTCTGGTCTTCATCCTGAAACTTGTACTGGTAGCTCATCATCATAAAGGTGTGAGGAATGCCAAGCTGCAGAGACACAAAGAACAAATGTTTGAATTTTGGCACCACTTTAACAGGAGATTGTAGATTCTGGAGGAAATAAAAAGCTTTTATAATCACCGAATAACCTGAAGAAATCAACTAAACACAAACTGAAACTTTTTGGGAGATATTCTCCAGGATGAGCAGGTTGCATAAGTGTGCCACTCTCGTATAACAGGGGAAGTAGTTGTGTTCAGAATGAACCACCACATTAAAATTCATGTTCAATAGGAGTCAGAGCACACCTGCCATGATTTAAAGGATCTCCGACTAACTCCAAATAAAGTTCAGCTGCTCCAGTAGGTTTTAATTAACATTTTCTCAAGTCGATTATTCCAGCAAAACCACCGGTTCGCAGAGAATTTCCAAAGCATCGGAGAGATCTCATTGTCATTAGTCAGGGGAGGGGTTTCCAAGGCGATGAACATTTCACAAAACACAGTGAAGAAAGAGAGAGAATATTATAAAAAGGTAACATAGGCAAGCGTTGGATGGGCTCCAAAATTAATGAAAAGACGAGGAGAAAACTGGCAGCCAAGAGACCTGCAACGAAATGCAAGAAGCTGCAGGAATTTCTGGCAGGTACTTGCTGTACAGCACAAGTCATATTCTTCTTATGTAGTGGCTAATGGATAAGGTGGCAAGATGGAAACCTTTTCTAACAAAGAGAATGATCCAGGCCCAGCCAAATTTAGCAGAGTCACATTTCACGTCTCCCAAAAGCTTGTGAAACAAAGTCTGATGTTTTTGGTTCCAAAATGTTTGTTTGGTGCAAAGGCAACAATCACCACAAAGAACACAACAAAGCATGGTGGTGGCAGCATCATCCTGCCTTGAAGACTATTTTTATTTTACGACAGAGCATCAGTCAAGTCTAATTAATGCATATCTACAAGAGCACTCCACTATCTGCTCTACTGCAAAGGCTGTGAGATAAAACTATCATGATCTGTATGCACAGAATGCTGGTAGGACAACAACAACAACCACAGTCAGAAGGTGGCGCCAAACACACAGCAGATGAGGACAAAAAAGTGGTCTGACCAGGAGGAGGAGACTAAAACCAACAACAAAACTTATTTTACAGAAACAATCTACGAGAAGATTTGCTGCTTTCCCAGTGTGGACAATTTATCTGCCTTAATATTCTGCTTAGAAATCAGTTTCTTTCTTTTCAGTTATTTTCTTCTTCTCTTATAAGAGGAGAGCTTCGGGCTCCCGAGTAGAGAGCTTCAGGCTGTCGACTGAGGATCTGTAGGGGGATCTGAAGAGGGCTGGGCACAGGAGATGCCTCACAGCCTGACAGACTGGATGAAGAAAGGGCAAATATTACAAAGTCAAGATGTGCTATGCTGATAGAGTGCTACAACAGCATCAAAACTGCGTCAGCAAAGTTTAGTTTCAGGGTGTGTGCAAACTTATGCAGCCACGCTACTTTAGAGTTTTCAGTTTGTTTTTTTAATAAAGTTGTAAAAAGTCACTTTAAAAGGTGAGAAAGGCTCAGGAATGATTTATTTCCCAAAATCCAATCTGTTGCACTTCAACACACATGCATACACTCTTATAGGTAAATTAAATTGCGTATTAATAACCTGGACTGCGACGGTAAAATGGCTGCTCTTTGTGTCCCTCACTACGCTGGTGTTCATGGAGGACTGGATTCCCCAGCGCCACTGCAGATAGCCCATAGTGTTCTTGTCGAGGTGGCGAGCCAGCACCGTTGTCACCCCAGGACGAACGCCCCGCGAAGAAAACTGGAGCCCACACTGAGCCGTTGCAAAGCTGAGACAAAGCAAAACAAAAGGTCGTTGGAGCTGCGGTGACTCGACTTCGAACAGGATTTTTGCTTTGCTAAACATACCATCGAGGCGTTAAGTTCCGAAATATCTTCATTCCAAAGAGAGGTCCGTGAGTGTCTCCGGCCCCCAACTCTACCTGCGTAAACACAGACAACGAAAATCACTCCGGACCTTCAAATGTTTCCTACAAGACAGGTAGAAAACTGTTTTGTGACAAACATAACCAGAAACAGAAAGAGTGAAGCATACCTCGCCCCACCCTTTAGTTGAGGTGACTCTTCTCAAAGCCAAGTTAATGGTGCCACCTCCATTCCCGTTGTGTGTAGACAGGGAGCCGGACAAAATGGCCGTGTCTTTTGTAGTGAGAGGAGCCTGCGGAGGAACGTTGAGAGCAAAACCAGGATCAAAAGCCTTCCTGACAGCCAAAGACAGACAACAAATAGGCCAGTCATGTACCTCTATAGATTGCGATATATGCATCCTGTTGATTTCTATGTGTGGCACGCTTCCCACCATATCCTCGTAGTCCTCTTCATACCGGTCAAAGAGGTCTGTGGCATCAATGCCCACACTTATCGACCCCTGTGAAGTGATTATAGATTAGTGTTGCACACAAAGGAACCTACAACAGTTAAAGTGAGGCTTTTCATCTTGGTGTAAACACACCTTTGGATTGGTCCGTTGCTGAAGCCTTCTCTCCTCTCGCTCCCTCTGAAGGCGTTCATACTCCTCCCGAATCTCAGCAGGACTTCTTTTCCTCTCCACCACCTGGAGGAAGAGGACAGGAGCTGAATTCAAAGCGAGTGCAAGCAAAAACTAAGTGCTAATTAACTTGAAGAAAAAGTGATGCAATTTAAAGCTTCTATTCTAATAAAACCGTCTTCATATTTCTTATTAATAAATAAATAAATAAATATGTCAAAATTTACCAGAGCTGCAAAAGAGAGCTCATACTGAAACCTTGTTCATAATTACAGTCATGGTTTTACTGAACGGTAGCTATCCTTCTTCGCAATACAAACCAACTTCTGCAGGCAATTTACTTAAAGTGAAAATAAGTTTTGTAATGTCCTTTAACGTCTATTATTACTGAAGGTGAGCTGTTTATATCTAAAAACCTTAATTAAATTTTAGGTGCAAGCTCTCCAAGTAGAAATCTACAATCTTTAAAAAAACGAAATGATTTTCTGTTGGCATTTGGACAAGTTTATATGTGGCAAACAATGTACAAGTGGCATTTAAAATGAAATTTAATATGCAGTATTTTTTTTAAATTTATAAAGATATTGTCATAGTGTTTTCGGCAGACTTCTCTTGCCTGTAGTCTGACTATTATTCCTAGACACATTTATTTTTTTTTGCCCTTTTGGAGAGTTGTTGCCACTACAACATCTATAATACTTACCTCCCATCCGTCCACATCGAGCCCTCGCTTGCCATAGATGTCGTAGATAGCTCGTGCCTGTGGTTCACTAAGCACTAGAACAAGATAAATCAACAACTCGAGAATTATATAAAGTGTATGTAAATCAAAACAGCCAAATGTAGGTTAAGCTAGTTTAGGCTAAGCTGAAGAGAAAATACTACTGCAAGATTGACCTACCTTCATAAGCTTCGTGTACAAGGTTAAAAAGAGCCTCAGCCTGTCGCTTTAGCTCAGGATCGCGGTGTTTGTCAGGATGATAGAGCATGCACAGGCGCCGGTAAGCTGCTTTCAGCTCCTCCTGGGTGGCCTAAAGCGGACCACAGAGTTTAAGAGCAAAATGAGACTTTTGATCCAAGTATCATCTTAGTGACGCCAATAAGTAGCAACTTTGCAACCTCAAGCTTTCAGTTGAGTTTTTCCCAAATAGTATGACCTGGCTGGTTTGTAATGTAATTAGAAACATATTACTAATGTATAATTCAATATTTTGATATCAATTTTGTGTATTTATTTAACTTTTCAATGACAGTTTGCTTTTAAAAATAAGAGTTTTGGTATAATGATGATCAAAACTGTTGTCAAATTAGCAGTAATACATTAGCTTTCTATGTTAGATAATATTTATCAACATACTTTAATTTTTTTTTGTTTTTGCAAAATTATTGCTTCATAAGACAAATATAATTTGCTCTGTATGTCGTAGTACATGTAGATTCTTAGTAATGCAACAGGTTATACTATAGAAGAAATGTCAGGACACATTTCATAATACTTTATTTGAAAAAATAAAGATCTGATATTAAGTAGTGAGTATACAGACAGTCACCGGGTCATGCTGTCCTGCCAGAAAATAAACACACAAGGTGAGTAATTACAGTGTTCTGAAAGAATCACATCTCTAACCACAAAAAACACAGTGACCATGTGTCAAACCTTAATCTGGTTTTGTCAAAAATAGTATTCCCCTGAAGCTGACCAAATAAAGGAGCATGAACGAACACTTTCTGACATCACAGATAAACTATCACATCCACTCTGTAAGCTCATGAACTGCATGCTGGAGCTTAACAGTTGGAGTTGTAGCACTAGCCAGTTAGCCATCCATGATAACTGAAACTATCTACTCAATTAGCCCCCAGATTATCATAGTAAGAGGAAATTCTTCTACCGTACTCCCACAAAACACGATTCCCGCTGACCAAGCTTTAACTCAATAATCCACAAAGAGTCTTGTTCGACTTCTAACTCAAGTGTCAGTCCACACTAATCAATGTCGTGGGTCACAGGCTAGCTTACCTTGTCACATACATCTCATTCAACGAGCAACTGTTGGCTATCAGCTTCAGAGAAACTAAAGAGTACCCAATGCATGCATCAGTACAAAACATTATTTGCGTCATGAGTCTGCCACGTACCTCTCTGCGAACGTTTAAAAGGGAATAGTAATCATCATTGGAAATCTCATCGTCGTCCAAGGCAGACGCCATGTTTACGCCCGGTCATTTCTACTTCGTGCCGTTCCCCTCGCAGAAAAGGTTCTCTTGCGCTCTCTGTCGCCCTCAAGTGGCAGGAGCACCGAAAGAAATTAAAACGGGAAAGGAAATTCACACATGCAAGTCAAACAACTTTTTCACGTCAGTTCGCAATCAGGCGCGCTTGTACAGAAAACAGGACAATTATCCTGTATTCATGTATTTGTATTTACTTTTTTCCTTTCTTGTTAAAATCTCTGCAGTGACTTATGCAAGCAGCAAGGGAGCTGTTCTTTCAGCACCACCACCTAAAACTGAACTGCATACATCACCTTTTAATACAGAGCTTCGGCTATACACAGACAGATATATATATATATATATATATATATATATATATATATATATATATTCTGTGAAACTGTATTCAACTTCTTTCTCATGTTGGCCTTGCATTATTTTAAAGGTCTTGTTTTGCTACATTTCACAAAGTTTTTGTCCCTCCAATATTGAGGACTCTTACTGTCTTCCGCAGCCAGTGGACTCCATAACCAAACATCAGAACTCCACCAAATGTTTCCACCACTCCATGGTTGTCCACAACAACTCCATCATCCTCAAGTCACCATCTGCTTACCCAGTCTCCAACACTCCCTGTTCATGAACACACAATATTTTACAAACCATCTGTTCGACTCCGACTGGACTCTCCTCCAGAATCCAAGCCTTCAGCAGATTCTCCATTCAGATCCATCTCTCTTGTCAAAAGCATCCGTCTTTATGTTCTGCGCCTCTTAACTCCTACACTTTCCTCAAGATGGTGCCGAAATCAGAGGGCCAAATTTCTCTTCATTGTACATTTTCTTCTGTTTTACCTTTTCATTCTGTGTCCTGCTTGTCATTCTGCTATTCTCACCAGCTTCATCCTGCCTCTTCAAGAGGTCTTTATTTTTTGTTCAAGGGTGAATAAGCACATTATGGACCTAAATATGTTCTCCTCTGGGACACATCCAGTATTTTTTTCTGAACTGCATAATGACTGGGAATTCCCATTTTGTTTCTTCTTGCATATAATTGAACAGATTAAAGTGGCACTTTTTAGTTACCTGTCAAATGTACTCAAGGATGAAGCAGACTTTTGGATGTCAAGAAATCCTTTCCAGTGACATCCACAGTTATGACACCATTTAACTCATATTTGGAATAAACCTATCAGAAGCTGAAAAAGTTCTAGCATCATCATGTGAGATTTCATAAATTCTTAAATGGAACAGTAGTATGTTAACTTTTGAATTACACAAAAGTGATAAAACTTCTATAAAGCAAACTCTACATTTACTTTAGTAGCCTGTATAAAATAGAAGTAGGAAACATATAGTCTAATTTAATGTCAGACCAATAGAAATATTGAGTTTCGATTGTTATTGTTTTATATTGCCTGTAGTTTGTTCACATGTTTAAGAAACGTGAATATTTTTCTAGGGAAGGGGTTCTACTCTGCTACTTCATGACACAAACAAGTTTGGTGTCACTTTGGATTGACAACCCACAACCTCAAAATAAAACATTCAAACTAGTTTTGACTCAATAGGATATTCATATTTTATTCATTTTTCTTTTACCCACAGTTTTATTAAAAGGAGCTTAATTCAGAAATGCCTTCAAAATACAATCAATAAAGGAAAAAAATAAAATAAAATAAAAATCCCAGCTGGAGGTGCCAAGGTGAGGAGAGATGTTGTTTTTCATCTCGGAGCCCCTCCGTCACTCACCGCCTTGCAGCCAATAGTAAGTTCGCCTTGGTCGGACCGACTCGCCGCGTGCAGCTCCGGTCCCTCCTCGTGCTGTCCTCGCCGTGCACGCGCGTGGTACCCACGGTCGTGAGGAAGGAGGAGGATGTTGCGCGTGAAGGGGAAATGGCTGCCGAAAACAAGCCGGAAGGTAAGAAGAAATATAATGGGATTAAATTTAACAGTGTGACCGCGGTGTGGTGTGGGGGTATTTTATACGGAGCGGCCGCAACTCCGCGCGGGGATGTCACGAGCGTGAGGACGAGTGGGGAGAATTTTTTTTCGGCGGAGAACGGCGCCGCTGTTTTCCTCCGAACACACAGAGGCAGCTGAAACGTGGAGACATCACTAGCCAGCTAATATTAGCTCTCATTGGAGCCAGCCGTTGTATTCCCAGCATAGCCCACATTATTAAAAAAAAAAAAAAAGAAAAAAGAAAAGAAAAAAAAAAAACGCCACGGGGACAAATTGTCAGCGTGGTTAAAAGTACCGCGTGTACGGTTTATTGTGCTCCGGATTCTTGTCAAAACGACGTGCAGTGCAAGTTGTTCCCAACAAGGCTAAGTTAATGACAACATGTCATCGGGATCGACCAACTTCTTCTCTTATTTCAGAGCTCCGTTCTGTTAGTTTATCCTTTTTTCTAACCGCTTGTTTTGGCTGCCCTGAAATAATAATTAAGACACGCCTGTTTTAAAATATGTAAGTTGGAGAGGGTCGCTCAGTTCCTCCTTGAAGCGCGAGCGTTTTTTCTTTGGCATTCAGCGAACTGTGATCTATTTTTAAATAATGTTTTTCCAATACTTTTTTTTTTTTTTTGCCCTACATTCAGTCTGAAACAAGAGTATGAAACCATTGTGTTGCCTTGAGATGCCCTGTCGCGCTTGAAATGCCATCACACCAGAAGATGAAGAGGGAGGATGGAGAGTAGGATTTCCAGCAGCCTGCCCATTACATTACTTTACACATAGGACAGAATGATGACTTTCCTCCCCCTTCTCAGCTGATTTCACACGCTTCGCTCACTGAGAACCAGATGCACCAGGCTTAATTATTTCCTTTTTAGTGGAATATTTTTATTACAACTCATATGCATGAGAGATCTGTGCCCATTCAGAAAGGCCCATGGATTTTTTGGGTGAGTAATTAAATTACGCGTGCATGAAAATAAAGGGAACGATAGCCTAAAACGCAGCTTTTCGTTCGTACTTGTGCTTTAGCTTGGTTGAGTTATCTAATTGCTCTTGTTAACGCAACAAATTTCAATATATTAAAATGCGTTCTCGAATTTACGTGACAATATTGGCGTGTTGAATAGCTGTTTATGCCCTTTTGGCATGCAAGTATCTGTCATTATTAACTTTTTGTTTGTGAGTCCATTAATGTTCCTGAAACACCATGTTCTTTTTGGATACGATAAAACTCTATTTTTATGTTTATTTATGTTAATAGCCTCAGGATACAGCAAAAAGAGTTTCTAGACTTTAAAACTAGCTGCATAATTTAAGATGTTGCACGTTAGGTCCAGCTGTTTCCTATCAGTTCTTAATGTTTTATTGTGTTTGACTATTTTAAAAAACAGCTATGTCAGACTTAGTGTCAGCAACTTCGAAGATAAATTATTTTCATGCATAATTACCAGTGTTCTAAATTGTTTTTTGTTCTTGTAAAAGATAGAGATTAAACACTGTGGTTTTAGTTGGTTTGGATGTCAGTGTGCCAACCACCAAAAGGAGTCCCACCAGGGGGTGCTATTGAGCTAAGGAGCCTCTCATATCTTTGGACTCTGTCTGGGGCTTGGACAAAAAAAAAAAAAAAGAAGACATCTGTTTTGTGATAGTAATGACTTGACTATGTTGTAGAGTCTTAAATCTTTTCCTAACATTAAATGAACTAAACACGCAGCCTATATCTGAGAGTCGTAGCGTAGCCTCTCCAACGCAAGGAGCTTTTCACTGAAAACCGAGGCTTGAAAGTCCCATTGCTGAGCCGGTCAAGTTATTTTCAGTGCTCCTGAGAGGCCGGTCAGTGGAAAACGGAGGAGGAGGGTGTAGAGCATAGGGAAAGAGGGAGATTACTTCACACCTTTATGTAAATGCCATGTCGTCTCATGCAGACTTGATCTTCACAGCTTTTATATAGAGCTGTCAGAAGTCTTTCCTCCCACTTTTTCTTCGTTTTGTGGTCTTCGTTAATGCAGAACACGAGTTTTACCGCAGTTTTTGTGCAACGAGGACCTGTGCATTTTTTTTCGCTATTAAAACAGGACCCCCCCCCCCCCCAGTTCAACCTTTTGTCCTTGTGGCTTGTGGGCAGTGCTGATGGCTCACACTTGTTTGGCAGGTCTCATGAAAGGTCCATAACAAGTGAGGGGCCATGACCTGAACTTACTCTGTGGTGTAATGTTTACATCCTGGTGTATTTCTCTCAAGTCTCAATGCCCTCGGGGGTATTTTTACTCCCCTTCACACACCTAAAAATCTCAGTGTGTGCGTTACTTTAAGCACAAGACTAGGAGGGCACCGAAAGGACAGGCTCACAATGACACTGCTCTACAGAAAACTACAGCCTGCAGTCTTAAAAAATCTGCAGGGTCACAGCCTTATACAAATATGTCAGTACAAGAGTCATATGTGAAGCAAGGGGATTTGTAACGGCAAGCCTCGAGATTTTATTTAATCGCTAAAGCTGAATCTTCACACAGTCTGATTTAAAAAAAAATCTTAGACCAAAATTTGCAACCTCATATTCATTTAAAATAAGAAAAATGCAAATACGGGGATGGAGAAATTGAAAATCAGTCAACAAAGGTGTGCAATTTAAAACAGACCCTATTTTCTTATTTTTAAGCGGTGCAGTTTAAAGCACTCCTTGATGTTATCAGAATGCAACGTGAAGCGCCAGCAAAAACATCAAGCGAGCACACAGTGAGCCCTCAACTTCCAAAAAATGCTTGTGCAGCAATGATACAAACATTTCCATCCTGTTTTGTAAAAAGAGGCATGAATTTTTGAACCTTGTTTTGTAGGACAGACTGTTTCTTCCCTTGGCCTTGTGTTGAATCAGTGAATCAGGTGCTGGGTTTTCTGCTCTGCCTTTTAATTGGATCAGTGAGGTATGGATGGATGTTAGTCGGGCAGTGTCTGTGGTTGCTGAGACGTATCGCTCCTGATTCCTGCACGTAGCAGACCTTTATGTACTGCTTTGCACGGTCTCAACTGATTGATTGTATTGAATCATTCAGTTTACCACTTAAACAATAAGAAATGTTACTGCCTG